TTCACCCTACCCCTGGTCCTATACACCCTACTCCTGACCCTATCTTTCGGGATGAAGGTTCCATCCATCTTACCCCGATTCCTATCCACTCCACGCCAGCACCTATCCATTCTCCCATCGTCACTCCGCGTCCTATCCGTCCCCATCCTCGTCCTATCTTCCACCGCCGCCGACGCCCCCGCCCCTTCCACCCTAGCTTCCGGCCCATCCACTCCACACCTCTCCCTATCCCTACCACCCCTCGGCCTATCCCCCCGCCTCCAGCTCCTGTCCACAGACCCATCGCTCCAGCCTACGACTACGACACTAGTTATGAGTACGATGAGGTGAGGCCTTGATGACACACACACACACACATACACACACACACACACACTTGCTCGCGCGCGCGCTCTAAAAACAGACTCGTATGAACGCTAAACCTCACCTTTCAATCGTATTCCTTTTGTGTCTAAACCAGGAAATAACTTCAACTTTCTTTCCCCATATTAAACTAATGAAGTTGTTGTCTGTCAATATTGTTAGTGTTATATCCTGTACACCCTTCTGTTGATCAAGGCTTTATAGTAACCTCACTACATAATGGCTTATTCTCACCTAGCACAGTAATAAACTTTGGGATTGATCTTCCATTAAGTGTGAAGTATAGTGGTTCTTTGGAGTTTTTTGTTTACCCCTTTGAGGTCGATGGTTTAACCCTTTCGTCTTCAGAGAGTCAAGAGGCTAGACTTCTCCTCTCACGCATCAAGATATAATGTAGTTATGTCCCAGTGTTATGACTCGAACCACTAAGATCACCCCATGTAGCGAGATCTCAATGTACGTAAACTATTGTATTCTGTTGTATCAAGATTATATCAGGTAGTTTCAGGTACTGTTATTGTGTCCTGTTGTATTCTGTTGCATCATGATGTATTTTAATGAGACGTGATCTTCATCGTCAGGGCCCAATGCCGTATGAGTTCGGCTACGACGTGACGGACGACTATACTGGCGCCAACTACGGCCACCATGAGTCCAGCGACGGCTACACCACCCACGGCTCCTATTATGTGCCCCTCCCTGACGGCCGCCTACAGAAGGTGACTTATTATGTGGAAGGTGACTCAGGCTTCGTGGCCGAGATTACCTACGAGGGAGAGGCTCACTTCCCAGCCTACGTGCCTCCTCCTCCACTTCCACCACCACCACCACCACCACCACATTTCCGACCTGTTCCCGTCCATCAACCACCCATCAATTTCCATCCTTCCTTCCTCCATCAACCAGACCCTTATTATCCCTAGCCCTGTGTACTTAACGTGGTCGTAGTGATCGAATCTGTGTGTGTGTGTGTGTGTGTGTGATCTTTGATTCGATTACCAACGAAGGTAAGAGTTGTAATAATGATCGTTTAATTCTCCCAATAGATCAGTCACAGTCATTTTTTGGGGGGAGTTCTTGAGTGTGTGTGTGTGTGTGCAACTCTTGACCGCTTGCTTATAAATACTGCCGTTGCTTCTCTCTGTACAAAAAACAAAAAACTAAACAAGAAAAAAAAGATGCCATTTGCCATTATTGTTTTCTGACATGTTGTTGTTGTTGTTGTTGATTGAGGTGATGCCGTTGTGTTAATATTAACTATTAAAAGAATGAACTAGATGGAGTTTTTTTTTCTCTCTCTGACTTCTGACGCACACACACACACACACACACACACACATGCTCGCGCGCGTAAACTAAACTTTAATGCAATATATAACTAGAGAATTAAGTTTACGTTTACGCACACAAACCATTTTCCGGGTATACACATGTACACTGAGCTTTACATACATGAGTGTACAGGTAGACTAGATATCAGCTGGACTTACGTAAGATTAACTACAGGTAACCACACGTGCACTAAATTGCAGGTAATACTTGTAGACTAGAATTGAGGTGACCCACATATAAGCTAGATTATAGGCAGGTAATTGATGAGGCAGACAGATGCGAACACTACTTCCTGCTCCGAGCCACACACATACACACACACACGCACACACACACACACACACACACACACACACACACACACACACCATAAGGACGCCTTTGTGGTCGACGCTCCGCTCTAATTATAACACTTGGGTTGGCTAAGTGTTAAGGAAAGTGAAAAGATGATTGTCACTTTCTTTTACTTTTCTGCCCACCTGTTGTATGAACCTGCCAGCTTGCGTGTTTACCCAAGGCACCTTAGGGGGAGAGGGGGAGGTGAGGGGAGAGTGGGAGGTGAGGCAGGGTAAGAGGAGAGGAGAAAAGGAGGTGGGAAGAGTGGGGGAGAAGGAGTTGGAGGAGTGGGGAGACGGGAGAGAAGGGTAGGAAGAGAAGAGGAGGTAGAGTGGGAGAGTAGGAGGAGAAGAGGAGGTGGAGTGGGAGGGTAGGAGGAGAAGAGGAGGTGGAGTGGGAGGGTAGAGGAGAAAGAGGGTAGGTGGGAGGGGAGGGTGGGAGGGAGGATTGAGGAGAAGGGAGAGGAGGGTGGGGGTGAGGTAGAGAATGAAGGGGGGAGGGAGAAGGTAGAGGAAGAAAGGAGGAGATGGGGGCGTTACCTGTTACCTGGGAAGGGGGAGGGAGAGTTACCTGTTACTGTGGGGGGGAGGGAGTTACCTGTTACCGTGGGAGGGGGAGTTACCTGTTACCGTGGGAGGGAGAATTTCCTGTTACCTGGGTAGGGGGAGAAGGAGTTACCTGTTACCTGGGGGAGGGGAGTTACCTGTTACCTGGGGAGGGGGAAGGGGTTACCTGTTACCTGGGGGAGGGGCCTGTTACCTGGGGAGGGAGGAGTTACCTGTTACCTTGGGAGGGGAGAATTTCCTGTTACCTGGGTAGGGGGAGAAGGAGTTACCTGTTACCTGGGGAGGGGGGAAGGAGTTACCTGTTACCTGGGGAGGGGGAAGGAGTTACCTGTTACCTTGGGAGGGGGAGAATTTCCTGTTACCTGGGTAGGGGAGAAGGAGTTACCTGTTACCTGGGGAGGGGGTTAAGGGAGGGAGTTACCTGTTACCTGGGGAGGGGGGAGAATTTCCTGTTCCCTGGGTAGGGGGAGAAGGAGACAATAATCGGAGTGGCAAACACACAAACACGCATGAAGTCCAGACATACTGTATGTAATCATATATAAAATGCCTATGCAGTCACACGAAAAACATACACATACAGTCCACTCACAGTGCACTCACATATTTTCCTAATGATATCTTGAGCCGGACTGAGAACATTCGGTCTGATCACCACTTGCAAAGCGATGACACACGGACATGTACAGAACATGTGAGATCAGTGACTCAGTCCAGCGCCCGTCAATCCTGCTGACAGGAATTAGAATCGTGCAATCTGAGCGAATCCGTTGTAAATGAAAAACAAGCTGCTGCACCATACTGTGTAAGCTGTACCGGACGGGTATTATGATTACACACAGTGACAAAAGAAAGACAAATAAAAAAAACCATTTCTCCCCTAACAAGGCAAAGTAAAAAAAAAAAGTTGAATCAGAGTTTCCACATTTTCTCCAAACATATACTACTTAGACTAGCCTGCCATGGCCCCCCTAAAATCTTGCGCGGGGGCCATGGGCCCCAGTTTTTTGTAATCGCCAATTAAGACGAATATTGGCTTGCAGGATAGCGAAACTCGTTACGATGGACTCGAACAATATCATAGCAGGACACAGTAACAGAACCACATTTAGCTATCAATGAATCACTTCCTTAACACATGATATAAAGTCTTAACATAATTATTGTAGACACATATATTAAAGAATGTGTAATTATAAAATAAGTAATTCTTTCATATGTAAATTTATTTAATCCTTTACAATCACACTTTCGTATTACGAGTCTAATGCCAGCAGAGGTTTTAGCTGTTCACAGTAGGTCTGTAGGAGGTAGTCTGACCGGGTAGTCTCAGTGTATCCCCTACGTAGACGGCCACACGCCATCTGCAGAATCGTGTATTCATAAAATACCAGGGTAGCTCAGGGTAAACACCCACATAGGTTGCTTCACTCCCCTCTCTTATATCTTCACTACCTCGTAACCAAAAACTATTTTCTAACAAGTTATTAAGCCGTCACGTGGTTTCCCGTGGGCGGTAACATATAATTATAAGGAGGACCCTGGAGCACCAGTAGGAACTCTGGGATGTTCGGTATGGCCACACAGGACAACACCCGTCTCACATTACACTCAAGAGGAATCATCAATCCAGGCGGAAGTCATGAGAGCCAAACGCGCTACCACTGTACCACCGACACTCTCAAGAAAGTAAAAGTGGATCCCATAGGTCTGGTGCCAGTGTGGGAGGCACTGTACTAGGCCGCCATTACTTCCCCCAACTGCAACATTAAGTACCCATTCACAGGTGGGCGAACAATGACTTTCCCGTTGTAATTAGTGGTCATATGGCAATATGACCACTAATTACCAGCAATATGCTGGTAGAATTATGTATGTCGGAAAATATTTGAGTATTATCACCAGAATTTCCCCTTGTAAATGTGAGCATTCAAGAGAGCATCAAAACTTGGTGAAGGGATAACGTTTGGTGGTCCCAGGTAAAAAACTGTATCTGGATGAAAATAGAGGAATTAAAGACAATTGGTATGTGTCCCGTCACTCACCTAGATAGTCCTCGCTAACATTTTCACTGAGTCACCCCTTAGTAGAACGTGAACACCAGTTTTCTTTGATTTTTTCACTTTCTTGATATTACAGACTGATATTTCGAGTCTGTCTGGAACCTTCAATTAATAAGTCAGGAATATTTCATCTCCAAAATAATAGTTTGGAAATATTTGGTTAACAACACTAAACTTCCGGAAAAATTTGAAACCCGGAAATAAATACTCTTGAAATATATGGATTCCTGAGTTAATACTTCAGAAATACTTCCACCTGAGAGTGTAAAGATCCTAGTAATATATGGACACGGGCCAAGAACACTTATACACAACTATTTATACATAAATACACGCAAATACATCCACTCATACACACACGTCAACAAAATCACATAATTATACAAAATCGCATGCAAGCAAAAACATACACATAACACACCCAGATGTACGCACACACATGGAAACGTACATTGCACACAATATCTTATACACACATACACATACATAGAACCATACGTACAGTAACACGCAGACACATAATTATATACACAGTACACAAACTCTTAAGAATAAACACACACAAAACACACACATACACATACATCGACACACACACACACACACGCAAACACAAATATCCACACTCACACACACACACACACACACACACACACACACACACACACACTTTTTATGTCGTAGCTTGAGTGAAACAATTATATACGTTCTCACATCTCCAGTTAGTGGGGAAAGTTTATCGTAAAAACTGAGAGAATCTGAACCCAATGTGTGTGAGATAGAGAGTCGGGAGAGAGAAATGAGGGAGAGAGAGAGAAAAGTAATTTGATAGATAGAAAGAGAAGAGAAAGCACAATGAGAGAGAGAGAGAGAGAGAGAGAGCCAAAAATGAAATAAAATTATAACTAAATCGTATACCATATTTATGACACAAATATGAGCACTGAAAATTCCCGAAATATTCAATCTCGAGTCCCCCACCGTCAAGGCTACAAGCTACTGATGGTGACCTACTTATGTCTCCCACAATCTTGGAGGGCTTGTAGAAGTACATGGATGGTTTCTACAAGGTCCTGGAAGCTTTTACAAGATCCTGGAAGCTTCTAGAAGATCCTGAAAGCTTCTACATGATCCTTGAAGCTTCTACAAGATCATGAAAGCTCCTACAAGATCTTGAAAGCTTCTAAAAGATACTGGAAACCACTACAAGATCCTAAAGGCTTCCACCATTCCTAGAAGCTTTCACAAGATCCTGGACGCTTCTACAAGATCATGGATGCTCATATAAGATGCTTGAAGCTTCTACAAAGGGATACTCCTATAAGATGCTGAAAGCTTCTACAAGATCCCGGAGGCTTCCACAACTCTAGGAAGTTTCTGCAAGATCCTGTAAATTCCCACGAGATCTTGGATTCTCCTATAAGATGCTTGAAGCTTCTACAAGATTCTGGATGCTCCTTTAAGAAACTGGAAGCTTCTACAAGATCCCGGAGGCTTCCACAATTCCAGGAAGCTTCTACAAGATCCCGTAAGCTCCTACAAGATCCGGAGAGCTTTTACATGATGCTGGAGGGCTCCTCTCTGTTTGATATTACTTGCTTATAAGATCCTGAACCATTTGTGTACGGGATCCTCTCCGAGCTGAATAAAATCGTCTGGCATTAGTCAAGTGGCGTCCCCGTAGTGAAGGGTTAGTGGAGAGAGTCTACTAAGGACTTCCGAGGATCCTGCAACTGATTCACTAACTGGTGAGTCCCACAACTAGGATCCAAAGACTTTTCCTTTCTGCAGGTCCTCAGATGGCAGAGAGGGCATCCTGAAGAAAATGTTGAGGACGAATTTGTTAAGCCATCATCCTCAGAGGGTTAGACTTTCATCCTCAAATGGCAAAAACAGTTAAACTATTATCCTCGAAGGTTAAACCATTATCCTAAAAGGGTTTATCAACCATCCTCAAAGGCTTAAACCATCATCCTCAAAAATTTAACCACCATCCTCAGTGGGTTAACATAAACCCTAAACAAATTCTCAGTCACCTTCATTTTTCACTAAGAGAATAACGAGACAGTTCAATATCAGGTTTAGTGGACCAGCTCCCCGTCCCTCGTCAAGTGGCCCAGAGACGTGAGGATCTACACTTAATCTTCGGCTGATGACGAGGTGACGACTGAGTGAGAAAATATAAGTTTGGTCTGTTTACTAACTTCATTGCTGTCGAAATTGAGCTTTTTTGGCGGTATTTTTTGTATTTGTTTTGCTTGGGTCTTTTTTTGTATTATTTCTGTATATTTGTATCGTTTTGGTAAATTTTACGTTTCATATATTTTGTTTGTATTTTTGTAAAAACTGTTTTTGCAGATGTTCTTTTTTTTTATGTTTTTGTTCATTTTCTTTCGTTTTATATATTTTTGTAAAATTTTATGAATTTTATGTTTTATAGTCTTGTATTTTTATTTTATTTTACTGTTTATTAATTTTTAATAGCTATAAAAATAATTGTAAGTCATTGAAAACATTCACTATCTTATACAACTGAACTATACACACCTATATAAATTATCTTGGCATGATTATACAGTACATATGTAGTACATAAGTCTACAGGACATATGCATAAATTTCATACATTAGTCCTACATTATACGTAACAAAACTGAACTACTTTATATATGTATAATCTGTTTTATGTTTTTATTCATGTTATGTATAATTTTGAGCTGAAATTATAGGCAGGACTGATGGATGATTATATGTATAAATGTTACAGCCAATTTTTATAGCCATTCATATTACTTATTAACCCCTTGAGTACGACGAGTTAACCCCTTGATTACGATGACATATTCCCTGAGTCATCAAGTCATCATGTTCAAGGGGTTACCTCATTGGACTCATTGCGGTTAACTCATCGTACTCATTGGGGGTTAACTCATCGTACTCAAGGGTTTAACTCATCATACTCATGGGGTTAAGACTGTTACTGTACTCAGGGGTTTAACTCATTGTACTCAAGAGATTAACTCATCGTACTCATTGCGGTTAACTCATCGTACTCAAGGGATCAACTAAACACGACGTCAGATGTATTTTTTTTGGGTGTATAATTGAAATAATATAGCGTCGTTTCTACTTTTTCCCAATATTAATACAAAAAATAAATCTGGAGGTTATCGTAGTTTTTGCTTTCACTTCTATTAATTAAAAAAACAGGGAGTTATTGTAGTACTTGTCTTTGCAGCTATTACCCCACAAAATCGGCTTTCACTTCTGTTACTTTATTTTCTAATATTTAAAAAGAAACCAATCGGTAAATTAATGTAGTGCCTTCTTCCCAGTACCTAAAAAAAAAGAAAGTTGCAAGATTTTCACGATTCTTACTTTCTCTTCCAATACCTAAAAGACAGGCTTACGTACAATCTGGGAGAAATCATGGTACGATAAGTGGTTTTTCCACCCTTGCTGAATAGAGGAAATTGCAAAGAAAGTTCCAACAACAAGAACAGTTTAAATGCACTACTTAACGCCAAAGGTGAGCTCGTGTGCTTGATGATCGACTAAAATTGATGGTTTAGAAAAAAAGACAGACAGACATAAATACAAAGACTATAGAAACCCAGAACCAGACTGAGAAATAATCAGAAAGACAAACAGGCAGATATGGAAACAAGAGACAAACAGATAAGAGAAAGATTCTAAATAGATATCAGACAGACAGAGAGACAGACATACAGACAGACAGACAGACAGACACCTTCCAAGAACACCAGTCAGACACACTACAGAGATCAACAATAGTCGCCTCCTTAGAACACGAACACCACGTTAATTCACATCATATTGACCAAAATTTTCCCATTCGACCCCAAATTTTCCCTGAATCTAACCCCCCCACCACCACCTCCCCCTCCTCCCCCCCCCAAAAAAAAATCTCACTTTTCCTTTCACGAAGGGGGGGTCGTGTGAGGCCCCCAGGCGTTATATATAAATGCCTTGCTCACGTTGATGTCAGTGTCAGTTTGTGTGTCTTTCTGTGGTAGTGTGGCCGACGATGTCTCTCTGTGTACGTGTCTTTATCTCTAACTTACTAGAGTATTTTCTTTATTAATCATCTGTTCATGTCCTTCGTATCCTTCCTATCTGTTTGTTTGTTGTTGGTTCACCCATTAGAGAAAACGTGTTTTCTTCTTACTTTTAGGGTAGACTTATCTACAGAAAATGGAATACAACCAATGACTCTCAGTACTTATGAGTTTTTTAGTGTTCATGAGTGTTAAGTTGATAATGTTTTAGAGTAAATGTAATGGATGTACAGGAACCCTATTCTCGGCAGCCGTTTTTTGACTGATGTTAACCCTTTGAAGATGATGAGCCACCCTAATAGCTTCTAGGCGTTATACCAACGTCTTGAGCGGGTTAAATCATCGTTCTCAAAGATTTAAACAAGATTCAAATCATCTTCTAATCGATAACAAACTTATACAAAACTTATAACACGGCACATCAACACGGGTACAGCCTCTTATCTCTTATCATTCAGGTTGTTGTGTTAGCGAGCCTTGTGGTCGCGGTTCTTGCTGACACAGGCTCTCATGTCCCATTCAAATTCACCCCATCCAACAGTAAGCCCTCACAGCCTGTAGGGAAGGTGGCCGCCCCAGCAGGGAGGGCACCACGCACCATCCCCTCCTACGGCGCTCCCTTCAACCAGGTGAGGTCTGGCCTTCTGCTACCAGTGGTCAGTCAGTTTCTGGAAGTTGAAGGAATGTGGATTATCATGTTTGATTAATGACTGAATAATACTTAGAGCTTTTCGATTTGTGTGTGTGTGTGTGTGTGTGTGTGTGTGTGTGTGTGTGTGTGTGTGTGTGTGTGTGTGTGTGTGTGGGTGTGTTGATGAAGGAAGAACTTCTGTGTGGTCAGAAGACATGTTAAGATCTCCTTATAGACAAATTACTTGGGAATTGGTAGCTTATAATAAGTCCTTCATGCAACATTTGTCTCCTCAGGGCCCCGTCAATTACGACTTCAGCTACGCGGTTAAGGATGCCTACATCGGCACCTCCTTCGGCCACCAGGAGACCCGCAATGGCTATGACACCAAAGGTTCCTACGTCGTCCCTCTCCCCGACGGTCGCGTCCAGAGGGTCACTTACTACGTCAACGGTGACTCAGGCTTCATGGCTAAGGTGACCTACGAGGAAAAGGCCACGTATCCCCAGTACCGTCCCGTTCAAGCCTACCATTCTGGTCCAGCTTATCGGTCTGCGCCGCCCCAACAGCTTGACGCAGAATACCAGGCTGCCCCTCGCCATGAGCCTGAAGTGGTCCAACAGCCTGCTCCAGAACTTCGATCTGCCCCGTCCAGTCAGCCTATCCAATTCGATCAGCCCACTCCTGCCCACCAGCTCACTTTAATCCACAAGCACATCCTATCCCACCAGCCCACTCCAGCCCACAAGCCCACCCTAACCCACCAACCCACTCCAAACCATCAGCCCACCCCAACCCATCAGCCTAAACCATCCCACCAGCCCACTCCAGCCCAGAAGCCCACCCTAACCCACCAACCCACCCCAAACCATCAGACCACCCCAACCCCAGCCCACCCCAACCCATCAGCCCACCCCAACCCATCAGCCCACCCCAACCCATCAGCCCACCCCAACCCATCAGCCCACCCCAACCCATCAGCCCACCCCAACCCATCAGCCCATCCCAACCCACCAGCCCAGCCCATCCCATCAACCCACCCCAACCAATCAGCCCACCTCAACCCATCAGCCCACCCCAGCCCATCAGCCTGCTCCAGAATTCCGGTCAGCTCTAGACTATGATCTGATCTTAAACTATGAATCCACCAAAGATGACAAACCAACCATAGAGGAACAGCCTACACCACACGACTCCTAGACTGCCATGTTGTTAATATTCTTTTTCCTGTGTTAGTATAATAAATGATATTATATTCTTTTGTATTCCGTCGCTCAGTTGTCCATTTGGTAAGAGAGTTTGACAGAGACAGTTTGACGCTTCAGTACACAGCCTTACACAACACAATCAGAGTGACAGTTTCATCACCATTGACAAACATTCTGCAATACACGAGTACCTGACTGACTCTGGGTACTCTTGCAGTTCAGATCCACTTTTATGTTTTATTTTACTCTTTGGTGTTAGATGTGAAATTAAAAGGCTTCTCCATAACTCTTTGAGGACAGACGATTTAAACCAATATCCTCAAAAGGTTATTAAGGTGTAAAAAAAATGAAAATCGTAGACCAAAATAATTATCCCTCACTACAAGAGTATTTATTTACTTGATGCTTTAGTAGTGAAAAGTTCCTCAACTTTCTTATCATAGCAGAACAATTTACACCATAGCAACAGTGACACCAATACAGCAAAAAAAAACATTAACAACAAAGACGACAACAATAATAACAACACCAAAAACAACTAACTATAATAACAACTACAGTAACAACTACAATAACAACACCACCACCACCACCAACAACAACACCACCACCACCACCACCACCAACAACAACAACAACAAGTGCTGATGTAATAACACGTGCAGTACAATGATTCATACAAGTCCTTCGTGGTTTTTGTGTTTCTGGTGGAGGTAAAGAAGATATTTATTGAGGTGTTCCTGAAGATCAGTCAGTCACGGTCCATTTGTGTCATGGCGGCTGCAGAGTCATGCACTTATTCCAGTAACAGACAGAACCAACCCAACCTGCAGCCTGTTTACCAGTGTCTCACTTAAAATCTATTCCAAGTTCGTTAGGTTAGGTTATATTATATTAGTCCAAGTTAGGTTAAACTAGTTTAAATTAGATTAGGTTAGTTTAGATTAAGTTAGATTAGGTCAACAACTAAGGTGTTTAAGCACTTAGCAAGGTTAGTGATTGTACAGTAGACTCACCCAATAGGTTATATAGGTCAGGGTAGCTTTGGCTGGTTCGGTTTGTACGAGGTTTTAGGAAAATAAAAAATAACATGATTAATCTAAAGTTTAAAACGGTCTCATGACATAACTTGGGGTGAGCCCGGCGGTCGAGTGGATACAGCGCTCGCCTCCTGTTCCAGGGGTCGGTGGTTTGATTCCCGGGCACTCCCAGTTCACCCAGCTGTAAATGAGTACCTAAGTTTACAATTTGGGGAAGTGAAGGCGGTAGAGTGCAGTACCGGCCATTGTTGCCTCCTTGTATACCAAAAACTTAGTGTACAGTGTGCTGTATTCACACTGTCCCTAACTGGCAATCATTCCTTTTGGATAGTCTACTAACCAATTGTGTACGGGATCGTCTCTACACTGTATAAAACCATCTGGCGTTAGCCAATTAAACATTAAAAATAGCATCCCCGTAGTGAAGGGGTTAATGGGTGGAATAATACTTATACTCTAATGTTTGTGGAAAAGGAATTTAACTAAAGGTTAAAACCGACCGCACTGCTGACTAGATATGTCTCTTGTTGCCTATGACCAGTAGAGCGCCATCTTTACTTAATTAAAAATAATAAAGAGTTGGTGCAGGAGGTTCAATAGATACTGATGGAAAAATAATCATATCTCGCCTACATGACTTTGGGTGCCAGGGACCATGTCAGGTGATCATGAGAAAATACAATATTGTGTTTCATTTATTATTATTTCAATATTAACTGACCTCCGCAGGACTACAGTAATGCGTCACAACAACTCGTCTTGTACAACGCCGTTGAGACTCGAGCACCGAATATCAGCGTCGTCTCTTGATAAAATATTAAACTGAATATAAACTTTAATAAAAACGTTAAAACAGATCTATTTCTAGGTAATAAGAATTTTTTTTTGCCCATTATAGATGATTGTTGCGTTGGTGGTTATTAGGTTGTTGATGTTGGTTTACAATTCTGTCGTCTTAAGATGGAGAGACGAAACAACTTTCTCTTATGATTCGCTGTTTGTATTGGCTGAATATTACATCTCTCTCTCTCTCTCTCTCTCTCTCTCTCTCTCTCTCTCTCTCTCTCTCTCTTTAAAATATCATAAAACTTGGATATTCTAGAAAAATAAAACACAAAATCGCGAGAAAATATGATCTGATGCAATAATTTCATAATACTTTTTACTATTAAAAAAAGTTGTGTGTGTGTGTGTGTGTGTGTGTGTGTGTGTGTGCGGCCTCTCTCTCTCTCCTTTCTCACTAACAAAATTCCTGAAATTTCCTGCGAGTCATCTCTGTATAATAGATATTACCAAGTACTTCTCACCCGTTAGCACCAACTTCACGTTACGTAATTGAGACACAACCATCTCAGCTTAGCGCAGTGAAGGAGCTTATGGCGGATGCTGGAACTATCGACGTCGATGGTCAATATTTTGTTAAAAGTCCAGAGGTCGTGTGTGAAATCAAGCAGGAGATCGAGTTGAAGGTTAGTGCAAAGTCAAGTGGGATATTGAGTGAATATTCAAGGGGGTGGTGAGAGGCCGATTTTGAGGTGGGAGGTTCAAGTGGTTGAATATGGGATTAAATGCAAGGGTCGAGTAGGAGGTCAAGTGGAGAGGTCCATATACCTTTCTCCTCTCAACCCACAGCAGACAGTCTTACATTCAGTACAGTGACCGACTCGACACCGTTGATCTACTTTAAAACATCCTCACATGTCCTCACCCTGGGTACTAAGGAGAACCCATTATACTTCTATAACCCAGCGGGAGGCAGGTATTATGTGCCTCTCTTCCACTACTACTCTACAAATGCTGCTGGATGTGAATTTTTATGTGTTGCCTGTCATTCACACACTCCTCGTGTTCCCTGTTGTGTTCTCTGCCTACATCACCTTCTCCACCCCTCAACTTCTCCTAAAAATGAAAGTAAATATGCCACTAAACTAGGGTACATATTCTCAAAGCTTCGTACGTCAACTCTTACTTTTAACAGTGTGTGTGTGTGTGTGTGTGTGTGTGTGTGTGTGTGTGTGTGTGTGTGTGTGTGTGTGTGTGTGTGTGTGTGTGTGTGTGTGTGTGTGTGTGTGTGTGTGTGTGTGTGAATAATAATAATAATAATAAACGGTTTATTAATAGAGTTGCAGCCGATGGCTGAAAATATACAAACTTACATGTGATTTAGACATAATAATATAGGTTCAATATATTTACAGGGCTGTACAGTACATAAATCAGGAGCTGTTTATTATTTTCACAATAGATGGGATGGTGCTATTCTTATATCTATCAGTGCGGGCTCTTATGGGCTGAATTTTGTTGTAGTGGCGGACTGCGCGAGGTGGATGGGGGACTGCCGGTGGCAGGAGGTTGCGATGATGAGGATGGTGCAGTAGTCCACTGTCAAACCCTGCTAGTGCGTGGTGGTGGAGGTTACTGAGAGATAGCATTTCCAGGGTGGAGAGAGCGTTGTTGTAGCCGGAGTAGTCTGCGCCGAGCATGATTCAGCAGGCCCTCTTCTGTACCTTCTCTAGCTGACGTTGTTGGGTAGAGTTGAGAGAAGACGACCAGGCTGGTGACGCATACATTAATTTTGGGAGAATAAATGCGTTGTAGATAGTCCTCAGCTCTGGCGTGGGTGCCCCAAGTGACCTGAGTCGTCGTAGCATGTAGAGTCGGTACGAGGCTGCCTTGATTGTGTTGTTTACATGGGCCTTCCAGTCCAGTTTGTGGTCTATAGTTACACCCAGGAGTCTGGCAGACTGCACTAACTGGAGAAGATGGGCACCCACTGTAACTGCTGGAGCTTGCACTGAAGTGGTGGCGGTATTGATGTGCATGACTACAGTTTTGGTGTGATTGATGGTGACCTTGTTCTCCTTACTCCATGCCTGTAGCCTGTCCAGGGTGCCTTGTAGCGATGAGTAGTCCGGTGAGGTGTTGTCCACTGTATCCCCTACAGTGCAGTCATCCACGTACTTCCACCTGTGAGGAGTGTCCGATAGAGCGTCGTTGATCAGGATTAGGAAGCACAGTGGTCCCATCTTGGTCCCTTGGGGAACACAGCAGGTGAGGTGTTGGAATGTGGAGACAGAACCCTGGTGCCTCACTGCCTGACGACGCTCACTCAGGAAATCAGTGAGCCATGAGCCCAGGTTGGTTGGCAGCGCTAGTGCAATGGCCTTGTTGATAACGGTGCAGTGATCAACAAGGTCAAAAGCCTTCCTGAAGTCAACAAGGCAACGGCCAGTGATGTCTTACGTTTCTCCAGGTGTGTGTGTGTGTGTGTGTGTGTGTGTGTGTGTGTGTGTGTGTGTGTGTGTGTAAGAGAGCGCATCTCGTTACGGTAGAGCGTCAGTGTAATTTTGTTGTCATTATTATCTACTTTGAGTTATTGATTCATAGAGCCGTTGTATTGCGATTCTTATGTCATCAGTTGCGGTTAGGTTTATGGTGTGAACGTTTAGGGAATTACAGTTGGTTGTGGGCTTAAGTGAACCATTTATACGAATTACCGATCAAACGAGGTATACATTCTTAATACTACAAGTGTACCCGGATGAACTGTGTCAGAAATATATAGTAACGGTTATATCCTAAGTTTTAAATCAGTAAAACATATAATTCATGCAGAAGACAGTATTATTCTCCCCTGCCAGTAAACATCTTCAGAATCCCACAATTAGACTCACTGATCATATGGACAAACATCAGTACTGTACATGCGATAACAACAGAAGCTTGAAGTATGTGAAAAAGAAATCTGTTTCCCTCTACTGTCCACGGGTGTATAAAGATAAACCTCAAATGTTGTTGAGAAAATCAAACTCATGGTTATAATTGCAAGACGTGATGACAGAGATGAGACCTCACTAAAAGATCATAAAGGAGCTGGTGTATAGTGGAGCAAACATGGTGGCCAGGAACTGTAAAGACTGTAATGTTAACACCACAATTAACACATATCAGAAGCTGTACGCCACAAGAAGTGTTCACAATGTCACGACTGTTGCTGCGTCATTATACTGAGTTAAAGATGATGATGTGTGATTGTGGCGGAGGTGTTGTGCAGGACAGGTTCAACCTCACGACCAGGGACTCACTGAGCTGCTCTTGTTAGTCTAGTGAGCCGCCTCCCAGCATCATCTGGTGACCTTACCAACACTGATTTGTATCTTGACTCTACTATGGTTAAGACACAATGGCCTGATAAGAGACACAATTCATTGTTCTAGCCCCTACTGTACGGGCTCCTCTCTGTACTGTATAAACCAAATAAAATATTAAAATTGGCGTCTACGTAGTGAAGATAAGATGCTAATGTTACTTCTCTGTGTTTCAAATTTGTAAAAGTTTCGTATCTATATCATTTTGTGGTTAATTTTTGCTAGTAAAAATAAATAAATATTCAATATACAGGATCATCAAATAAAAATACCCAAATTTTCAAATATCATCCCCTGAGATTTGGTAATTTTTGGACCACCTTGTAAATCTTGGCATGTGTAAATAACATTCTTATCATCAACACCAAACTATATTTTGATGTTAACATAAAACAGTAGCTGGGGGCAGTGAACTACTCAAGCGGTCAAGAGTGAAATGGTTGACCAAGAAAGATGAAGAAATGAAAGACAAAAGATAAAATGGACGAGTGAATCATGTCACCTGTTTAACTTACATGTAAAAGTGGATTAAAATTGTTGTAAGGGAGATATAATTTAGTCAGCTGCTGATATTAGTGATGAACAGCTGTAAGTCATAATTGGGTCACTGTACTAGTAAGGCTACCATGAACTGTTCTGTCAGTCTTGAGAGGAAAGACATCACTTAAATGTGTATTAACAATGACAATGACAATGACTAGTAACTAAGCGTTTCCTAATGTTTTATGGTTGTGATGATGTATATAGTAAGTAAAATGACCATGATCTTCAAGCAACGACCATTAAGTCCTCGTTCCTACACTAAACAACAGCCTATGGTGATTAATGAGAGGTAAGTCATGGTCGGGAGGAAATACTAACCCAGGAATAAATATTTCATCATCGAGATGTTGAATGGCAGAAAGGAGTTTATAAAAGCTCTCAGCTGAATCACTTGTCTGTGCGTTGATGTGTTTATGCTTCCGTGAAACTGATAGACTATAAAAATCTCTCTCTCTCTCTCTCTCTCTCTCTCTCTCTCTCTCTCTCTCTCTCTTTATCTCACGTGCGTTTCGTTCCTTATCTCTCTCTCTCTCTCTCTCTCTCTCTCTCTCTCTCTCTCTCTCTCTCTCTCTCTCTCTCTCTGTTTCCTTCTTTCTCTCTCCCTCTCTGTACTTTCTTTTCTCTCTATTTCCGCCTGTCCCTGCCTTTTCCTCCCCTCTCTTTGTTTTATCTCTATTTTTGTTGTTTATTTCTGTTTCTTTCTCTCTTCATCCACCACTATTGTTGCTTCCTTGATACTTTTTATATTGTTTTCTTTCTCCCTTTCGTCTCTCTTTCCCTATATCGTTCTCTCTCTCTCTCTCTCTCTCTCTCTCTCTCTCTCTCTCTCTCTCTCTCTCTCTCTCTCTCTCTCTCTCTTTCCCGAATAACAATGAAAACTGGAGGCGATCATCCACTGAAATTGGGTCCCATAGACGTGACGGTCCCTTAACTACATTAAACTGAATATTAAGCCTTTGTTTACACAGCGTAACAGGTACTGCACTCGGCCGCTTTCACTTCCTCAGCTGTAAAATTAGGTTGTCATTTATAGTTGGGTGGACTAGGGGTGTGGCCACGGTCGTTAAATCAGGAACGTTTAGGGTAGGACACGATCACTGTATCCACTTGGCGTCAAAGGTCATGTTAGTTAACTCGTTAGTGTCTTATTCAATTTCTATGAACATTCAGAAAGATTTAAGAAGTATATATCTCTACTCGCATGAACTAACAACAATATAATTCCTTTAGATTGATCACGAATGGGAAAGTTAGTGTTGTTGATCTTTATTGACTTTACGTGAAAAACCATAAACAGACAACCATGAGAAATAACGTTTTAAACTGTGGCACACGAGAACAGTGTCTTAAGAATGAAAGCTTTTCTCATGTATGATTGTCTTCCCATCGGGAGGTGTATGTGAGAGAGAGATAGAGAGATCCACAGGTATAAAAGTGTGTCTCTACATCTCTCTCACCATCAGTCTGGTTGTGGAAGCGATGAGGATGACTTTCCGGGTGAGTTTTTGTATCTGAAGTTTGTCTACAGGTGTTAATTTGTGACTTGGGAATAGTGGAGAGGGGGAAGGAGAAGGGGAAGAAGAGATGGAGGACGGAATAGATATAAGGAGAAGGGGAAGGAGGGAAGGAAGGGGGAAGAGGAGAGAGTCATTATAAATTCCTTGAGGTCCACCGTCGATTCATAATAATTGTGTACAGTATTATTTCCCTTAACTCGTGCGTAAAGAGAAAACACTAAAGTCTGGTCTCAAGTGAATAGAATAATAGATGATACTGTTTTGGACTTCAGTGTTGTAGCGGACGTCTGGCAGCCTCAGTGTCTGCATGTTTATGATTTAAGTTTTCGGTTGAGGAATTTTAGTGTGATTGTGTTAATTATGGGGATCAAATATAAACGCCATGACAGATATTTTTCTCGTCATCTCCTCCTTATAACGTGTGTTGAGCAGAACTTCAACATTTCGATGACAAAAGAGTTTTTTTTTTGTTTTATATTACGTTTATGTAGTAAAGCTTCATGAATTATCTAGATGTCTTCACTTTCAATATTTTTTTTAGTTTAGGATCTCGCTAAAGTCAGAAGGGTTTTGTCCGTCCGCCTGCTAACTGTTGGACTCCTCCCAGATGAAGATAAATAACATAAAAAAATAAACATGGGCCATAGATGTGCCTCTCCAATGTGAAATATTTTGGAAGTCTCTCTAATTTGCATAATATGTAACCCGTCTGTAGCTCAAGAGTTCATCTGAAGTTTACACAGATCTAACTTCTTTACAGTATAAGTCTGATATATAAGTTGTATTTTATTGTGTATGTTTTGAAGTCAATTGTCATCCTTTTCTTGCAGGTTGTTGTGCTTGTGGGCCTTGTTGCCATCGTCCTATCAAATCCAGATACTGGCCCCTCCACACCAGCCCTGTCCCAGCCTCTATCGTCAAAGTCAGACCCGTCCCAGCATATATTGTCAAAACCAGACCAGTACCAGCATATATCGTCAAAACCAGACCTGTCCCAGCATATATCGTCAAAACCAGACCAGTCCCAGCATATATCGTCAAAACCAGACCCGTCCCAGCATGTATCGTCAAAACCAGACCTGTCCCAGCATATAGCGTCAAAACCAGACCTGTCCCAGCATATATCGTCAAAACCAGACCTGTCCCAGCATATATTGTCAAAACCAGACCAGTCCCAGCATGTATCGTCAAAACCAGACCTGTCCCAGCATATATCGTCAAAACCAGACCTGTCCCAGCATATATTGTCAAAACCAGACCAGTCCCAGCATGTATCGTCAAAACCAGACCTGTCCCAGCATATAGCGTCAAAACCAGACCCGTCCCAGCATATAGCGTCAAAACCAGACCTGTCCCAGCATATATTGTCAAAACCAGACCAGTCCCAGCATGTATCGTCAAAACCAGACCTGTCCCAGCATATAGCGTCAAAACCAGACCTGTCCCAGCATATATCGTCAAAACCAGACCTGTCCCAGCATATATTGTCAAAACCAGACCTGTCCCAGCATATATCGTCAAAACCAGACCCGTCCCAGCATGTATCGTCAAAACCAGACCTGTCCCAGCATATAGCGTCAAAACCAGACCTGTCCCAGCATATATCGTCAAAACCAGACCAGTCCCAGCATATATCGTCCAAACCAGACCTGTCCCAGCATATATCGTCAAAACCAGACCCGTCCCAGCATATATCGTCAAATCCAGACCTGTCCCAGCATGTATCGTCAAATCCAGACCTGTCCCAGCCCGAATCATCAAAATTTCAGCCGCGATTTGCCCAGTCCAAGGTTGTCACATCCAAGTCAACCTTATCAAATATTGTATCATTAACATCTGTCCAATCCCAACATCCCCCGTCAAAGTCTGATCTATCCCAGCCTGTCCTTTCAAAGTCTGATCCATCCCAGCCTGTCCTTTCAAAGTCTGATCCATCCCAGCTTGTCCTTTCAAAGTCTGATCCATCCCACCCTATTTTGTTAAAGTCATCCCGATCCTATTCTGGAATGTCAAAATCAGTTCCGTCCCAGCCTGTCTTATCACAGTCTGGACTCATCCAGCCTGTGACGTCAAAGTCTAGCCTGTCCCAAACTGCTCCTCCCCATCCTACTGCATCCCAATCTATCCCGCCCAGCCCTTCTCCATTCGAACGTGCCCTGTCCAAACGTATCCCACCCCAGTCTTTATCACCAAAGCCCTCCCCGTCCACGTCCTCCCAGCCCAAACCTGTTCTGTTCAAGACAATCCCTTCCCAACCTTTCCAACTCCATATTGTCCCGTCCCAGGCTGCCTCATCTAAATCTGACCCATCCCAGCCTGCCTCCGACCAGTTTCTGTCTCACCTGTCCCAGTCTGCCCTATTCAAACGTATTCCATCCCGTCCTAAACCGTCCCAGATTGTTCCTTCCCATCCCGACCCAGCTCATCTTGTTCCGTCGCAGCCTGTCCCATCCAAAACAGAACAATTTCAGCCTAATCCGTCCCACTCGGACTTATATCTGCCTTCCCTTTCTCGGGCTGCCTTATTCGAACGTATCCCATCCCAGTCTCGCCCGTCCCAGCCTCCCCCGTCTAATTCTACTCCATCCCAATCTGTTCCATCTGATCCCTCTCCGTCTCAATCTTCCCTGTCACTGTCTACCCTATTCGACCGCATACCGTCCCACCCTCACCCATCACAACCTAATCTTGAGGTCTCCGACTCAGACAAAAGGGCCGCTTTGCCCATTCTTCTTCATTCTTTCTCTCCTCTTACATCACCTGTCGGTAGCCTACACACAGTCGCATTCAATCCTCCCCTGTCCCAGCTTTCCCCGTCCAAATCTGTCAATTTCAAGCGCATGGCGTCCCATAATCACACTTCACATCCTTCCACATCCCAGGCCGCATCCTTCGAACACACTCCCATAAGGAAAGGTGACGAGTTTTCCGGCATCAATCCGACCATTATCCATTCCGTTCCAACCCAGCGTGCAGACTCTGAACCCTCTGAGCCGAGCCTGTCCCAGCCTGCACCGGAAGAGAGGCTCGTTCGTAAAGCCACCTTCCAACCTGTAATATCCCATCCCACTACGTACAGACCCTCTCTATTCTTTCCCATCCCATCCCATTCAAGAACGTTCTCGCCTACCCTGAACTATCGCACCCCTTCCCATCTACCCACATCCAATCCTGCTCTGCCCTTTTCCACTCTGTCGCAACCCATTCCACCCCGACCTAATCTGTCACAATCCACCAAGCCCCATCCCATCATCTCCTTTCCCACTTCTTCTCACCTATCATCCTATCATGCTACAACCCATGCCACGCCATTCCGCTTAGTCCCACTCACCCATCCTGCTACATCCTCTCCTACAGCATCCTATCCCACCCCTTCCTATCCCACTCCATCCCAGCATACGCCAGAGAACGCCATCGCAGGACGAGGACCCAAATACACTGCCAGAACCCACAGTTCCCCAGTTCAGGTGAGACCCCCAATTGCTACGTCTAGTTTAACTCTTTTGAGAATTAGAAGATGGTGGGAGATGATTCGCAAGACTTGATGATCTAAATCTACTGTTTTATTGTTTTTTTTGTTTTTGTTTTCTATTCCCCGATTCTTATGAATTTTCCCATCACTTCCCCCTCAACAAAATAACAACAGCAATTATGGACCATGACGATGTGCAGACACTAGACCGTTACAAATGGAGGTAGATAATTGGCTGTTGGTGATGTGACTTTCTTAGCAACCAGCGACCAATCAATTTCTACGAACTATGACGGTTGCCAAGGACGTAAATATTGGGTAGCGGTGAGCGATTGGCCAATTAATTCTAATCCTTTGCAAACACTTCTCACTTTCACTGTCCAAATGAAGTTGCCTTAAATCGTGAAGGCTTGTTAGTTCACAAACCAGTCTTAAATTTAGTGATTCTCTTTATTTAATTGTATTTCAGGCTTGTAACCCGTATTATAGGCATCATAAAGTCGTGGAACTACAGCAACATAAACAAACCTCTCTCTCTCTCTCTCTCTCTCTCTCTCTCTCTCTCTCTCTCTCTCTCTCTCTCTCTCTCCTTTCAGAAACCTTATCAATTAATTCCATTATTTTAATAACCCTAACTAATGTCTTTCAATATGTCTTGAAATTTAACTTACTTTACTTTAATTCAAGATTCTAAATTTTCTTTCTCTTAACTCCAGGAAAATTATCTTCACATTAACGTTTACTTTAAAATATCCAGTTAATCTCTCGTTAATCTCAACATTCAAACAAATATTCCTGACCTTTTGATACAAGAAACTTAACTAAATCTCAACTACAATATGAAAACAAGAATTCCGTCCAGCTAGGTATAGATCTCTCTTCTCTACTCACAACATTGACTCAGCTCTTGAGGACTCCGTGTAAATATTTTCTCATTGATTTTCATATTTCTGAAACCATTATATAAAGACTAGTATCAGGAGCCTTTTGACAGACTTCTTTCAGTATAGTCTATCTGCTTCTTTCATTGACTGCTTAAACTTCACTTCCACTCTCTGCTCTGATCTCATGACCATAATATACTTGAGAACTTTATCTATGTCACACTGTCTATCTTTTATCAACCAATCAATCAATCAATCAATTTATATATCTATCAGTTTGTAACATCCATACATCCATCCATCCATACATCCACCTCTACCCCTATATCTTCCCACGGCAGCTCCCAACACCCAATACGTCTCTCACTTTCTAAATAAATGATTTTGAAGAAAGTTAATTTTCTTCCCCACACTCATATTTTTTCCCAATTCTCGTTTGTTATATTTTTAAGATAATATTAACGGTAATGATGAGAATAATATTAGTGGTACTATTACTGTTAATGATAATAATATTGGCTTTAATTTAATGGGATAAATGTGATAAAAGTAATGATAATACTTCATTACTAATGACACTACTATTAGTAACAGTATCTATATAGCAATAGCGATAATTGTATTAATTATAATAGCAATAATGGCCATAATATATTAGTAACAATGCTAATAATATCACTGCAACTTTAACTACTACTACTACTACTACTACTACTACTTTTTTTTTTTTTTTAACGTGGCCTCCAGCCTCCCCCAATAGCCACACCTTCGCCACCATTTATTTACCTTAATATTAAATATCCTAATACATAAGCAACTATCCTATCTGTGTTAAATTAGTTGAGCCGCAGATCGATGCGGCATTCGGTGACTGTAGCCTCATAGTCGATATCTGCAGCAGTTGACGGAGTAGGGGCAGAAGCTCTCGTTCCCCTGAGGCAGAGCAAAGCCGACCGAAGGAGAGAGAAGGACAGTCGACATCTCATCCAGGCTGTGACATAACTTCTGGGCTGCTGCTTCTGTTCGGAGATCAGCTCCGCGAGTCTGGCGTAGAAACATCTTGCGCTTGGGCCCATCCCACCAGAGGTTGTGAACACTAGCGGAGTGAAGCTGCCTTGATCGACATTTTGAATTCTCTCCCCATATGCCCTTCTCTTGTCGTTCTCGTTCCTCCTATGTGCAGCATCGAGAGCTAGGTTACGGTGACAAACGGCCATGGGATCAAAAATCCTGATGTCGAAGAAGGCTCGCTGTCCCCGCGTCCAGAATCCTCGAGCACTGACGTCCACACGGGCTTCGTTAGATGTGTTTGAAGTCCTGTGTTGGAGGATCTCGCCATCCAGTGGAAGGAGGGTCGGTTCTACCATGACGTCCCGGCAGGTTTCCTTCAACATATTTGCTGTGAGATCCCTTACCTCGTCATGCCTCATGCATATGAAGCCCCCCTTCTTGCAAACCATGGCGTGATCGCCATCATAGGAATAGCCACACACGCATTGGGAGGGCAAACCATCTACTGGCCAACCGTACCTTAGAGCAATGGCATCTGTAAATTCTTGTTTGTTAAGGCTGAAACCATTTGCCCTTATCGGTAACGTAGTTAACCAGTTCGAGGCGCCCACCTCCTGCGCTATAGCTACTTTTTTTGTCAAATTTTCTGGAACCTGCAGCAATAGTTGCTGCAACATGTCATTTTGGCAGTGCTGCCGATCTGTTGTAATGGATCTACGGATCTTATTAACTTCGCTGGTGTCCACTTCCCCTGTTGCATTCTGGGCTATTATGTGGTCAGTGAGGGCTGCCGTGAGCTTAAGTGAATTTTGATGTTCAGAGTCAGCAATCTCCTCTGGATTAGTTAGTCCCATCCCTCCCAGTCTTGGTGGAAGTGCAAGAAGTGTTCTTTCTACTGGGGTTAAGTCGTGGTGTTTCACTAGTTTGGGAATGAACTTGACACTGATTGCTTCTTCCAAAGGGTGGAGGAGGGGTCGGATCTCAGGGATGGTACGCATCAGGTAGTTCCAACGATGCTTGACTCCATGTGTGAATGCTGCAAAGGCCGCATGTGGCTCTGTGTTAGCAATCTCCGATAGAGCATGGATTTCGCTAACCCACTCGTTCACCTTTCCCCCTACGTACTGGGTCTTGAAGTCCGTAGTGCCAATTACTGCGCCTAGATGTCTTTGGCCGTCCTTAGTTATTTTGACCTCACTTTCGCCGAAAACCTCCACAGCCCGATCATAATGATCTGGCTTCACGATGAGGAAGGATTTGCTGGCGTTTGGGTGGTACCCTATTTGTGGACCTCGCGATGTTACCAGGTCCCACCACTTTTTGATGTCCTCCACTTTTCCTGCTCCTGTGAGGTCATCAGCATATGCCACTTGTTTGACCCCAGTTGTTTCATACTTTATTTCTTGTTGGAGCACTGATAGGCCTATTGCATACATTGCCATTGCAACGGGGTCTCCCTGTGTTGTTCCCTCGGTCGACTGTAGGATGGTATCACCTCGTAGAGCCTTGTTGTTTACTACGTAGAGGTCTGAAGGATTCCTATACGAATTTTCAACATACATCGCAAAGCTAGGACACTTGATCTTGATGTTGTGCAGTGCCGCCTTGCGGTTAAGTATGTTGAATGCGTTTGAAGCATCCACCAGGAGAACGGCCTCACAATCACGCTGCTCAAATATCAATCTCATGGCGTGAATGGCCGCCTCCCCACCAGCCTGGTGGCCAGCACACACTTGTAGGTTCCCTGCTGCTGCCCTGACATCATCCTTTACCACCTCCATTATACACTTTCCGATGATCCGCCTCAGCACTTCCCCCACCCCTATAGGTCTACATCCTGGTTTCTTTTCCAGAGGAATAAGGCGGCAGGCCGTCAGAGCCTGGAGGTGATGGCAGCAAGAGGATGCAAGCTTTCTTGCAAGGGTGGCAATGGCAGTGCAGAGATCGCTTGCTACAGGGCCAAACTTGTTTGTGCTGAGGATGACTCTCCAACCGTTTGCATCCAGACCTGAAGGGCCGGCTCCGCCTCGAGTCTTCAGTGCCTTTTTCCACACCATCTCTCCTGTTATTTTCTCGAACAGGACAGCGTTTGGTGGGATATAAGCACCCTGGAGCCTGATGCCTTCATCTTCGCTTGCAGGGGGATGTTTCTCTTTCAATAGTTTTAATGTCGCTCTGTTTATTGGCATCACTCCACCGGAGGATTCATGTGTGAGAGATCTTACCGCGAGAGACACTTTTCCCACACGCATTTTGTTTCCAAATTGTCTTGCCACGTCATCGGTGTTTTGCTTTCCGTCACCCGTAGATTTTAGTCTCTCCTGCAGTGTTCTTGCTTCACATAGGAGATCATCTAGGGCCCCAGTCTGCCACATTGTCAACCTTCTCTTCATTGCTGCCACATTTTCTTTGTGCTTAGCCTTTGTGTGTGTCCTCTGACAAAATAGATGTGGTATTATTGCCAGTATTTGAAGAGCTAGGGGGGCGAGGAAGCGGTCCTGAGTGTAATCAGTCATGAAGTGAGTCATCTCCCGAATCATTTCTTTGGTGGCCGCACACTTGGGTGGTTCAAATAAGTTAGCGGGCGACCACTTGACAATTTCTGAGTAGGTTTCTTTGACCCATACGCCTGCATTTTCCATCGACATGCCATTCCACTGAGGCGGCTGTCTCTCATTCTCCTCGTGGACACCTGCTACTGAGGGAGCAGCATTTATTAGTACTACATTATCGGGTTGAGTAGACTCACTGCTATCATTTCGGATATCATCGGGTAGTTGGGTCCCGGCGATATCCACTGTGGCCGCCTGTGTCGGCTCCCTGCGACGTGGGTTCCGACACTGGTCTAGCTTCCTGCAATTCACACATGGTCGGTTATTTCTCGCACAAACACAATTTGTGCAGTTTTGGTTCGGGCTAGCACAGACGCAGCAAGGAATGTTACCAGGCATAGTGACCAGCACCTTGGGCGACGGTAACGTCCGCCTCCGGACATCTGATTTAGTCCCAGGCACAAGATTATACTGGTTCTTATGAGGGAAGGGCGGAGAGGTGACAGGCTGGACTGGTGTGTCCAGGTAGTAGGGGCATACGTGCGCGCGTGGGTGTGTAGGTTACCCCCCCTAATAGCGACCATCCATACATCAGAATGATACACTATGGACAAGAGTTTGTCACACCAGGCACTAGTTTATATTTCCTTGGCACAAATAACCACTACTACTACTACTACTACTACTACTAATAATAATAATAATAATAATAATAATAATAATAATAATAATAATAATAATAATAATAATAATAATAATAATAATATTATTATTATTATTATTATTATTATTATTATTATTATTATTATTATTAAACGGTTTATTGAAAAAGTTCAGCAGCCAAAAGGCTGAAAATATTCATTGTGCAGAAATGACGTACCTATTACAATGACATGGGGTGGGTGGGTGATTTAACAAAAGCTTTCATTATAAAAAAAAGAAAAGGAACATGAATTGAACATACAATTTATAGTTTACAGTTGATGGCCTAAACTGGTCTTTTGTGTGAGGTCACGTAGGTCACATGGTGCAGTAACTCGTCCACAGGTGTTGAAATGAGTGACTTCACATGTCGTAATAACTCGATCACTGCGTCGCAGTGTCATGGAGACACCGTGTGGTGTGGTGTGGTGTGGTGTGGCAGTACTGTACCTCACTCTCAGCCAAGTGGTATTGTGGTACTTTATAGTCAGCTGTAAAGTCGACGCACTGCACTCAGTCGTCTCAAACCGCCTGGTCAGCAGGTTGGTTCCCATGGACGATTACCTCTGGGTATCGTGGGGCATCCCTGGTGGGTGTGAAGGTTAACGTGGCCATGATTCTCAGTTGTTACTGTTTAGTTTCAGTTCACTGTCCTAAGTACTTCATCACTGCTTAACAGTGATTACACTCCTTTCCGAAACGAAATTGTCATTTTTGGAGGGATTTTGCTGATGTCCGCGTGGGGAGGAGTTGAGGGGAGGGAGCACCATCGAATGGGTATTGACCCTTTGGAAGTCAGGGCGGTGTGTGTGTGTGTGTGTGTGTGTGTGTGTGTGTGTGTGTGTGTGTGTGTGTGCGTGTGTGTGTGTGTGTGTGTGTGTGTGTGAGTGTGTGTGAGTGTGTGTGTGTGTATGAAATCACAATAGCAAGGGAATCCAAGGCGAATCCCAAGGGATTTTTCCAGGTTTATAGGACAAAGGTCAAGGACAAAGTTGGGCCTTTAAAGTCAGGGAGGGAAGAAGTGATAAATGGCAGTGAAGAAATAAGCAAAGCATTGAACAGCTACTTCCTATCAGTTTTCACAGAAGAAATTTGCAATGAAATTCCAGAGGTGGAACTGATATTTAAGGGAAAGGAAGAAGAGAAATTAAAGAATATCACTATCAGAAAAGAGGATGTTCTTAAGAAGATAAATAAACTAAAGAAAACAAAATCCCCAGGGCAGGATGAAATTTTCCCTCGAGTCTTGAAAGAGTGTAGGGAACAGATTAGCGAACCCCACGTAAACTTATTTACAAAATCATTAGACACTGGAGTTGTGCCAGACTTGTGGAAAAAGGCAAATGTAGTACCCATATTCAAAAAGGGAGACAGAGCATCAGCGTCAAATTACCGGCCGATCAGTTTGGCGTCAGTAGTGGGGAAATTTCTTGAATCAATTATAGCAGATAGCATCCGATCGCATCTAGAGAAAAGCAAATTAATCTACGACTCTCAACATGGGTTTACAAAGGGAAAATCTTATCTAACAAATCTGCTAACGTTTTTTAGGAAAGTCTTCGAGGTAGTAGATAATGACGAAAATTACGATGTTATTTACTTAGACTTTAGCAAAGCATTTGACAGAGTACGGCATCAGAGGCTTTTGAGAAAAATTAAGGCTCATGGTATCGAGGGGAAAGTTTTAAATTGGATAAAATCATGGCTCACAGATAGAACGCAGAGGGTCAGCGTAGATGGTGTTAAATCTGAGTGGGGCCGTGTAACCAGTAGGGTTCCCCAGGGGTCAGTACTAGGCCCACTCTTGTTCATAATCTACATAAACGATCTAGATACTGGGATCAGCAGTGACATAAGCAAGTTTGCGGATGACACCAAAATAGGGCGGCAAATTAATTCAGGGCAGGATGCAAATGCATTGCGGGAGGATCTAAATAAACTGCAGGGGTGGTCTGAAAAATGGCAAATGAAATTCAACACCAGCAAGTGCAGCGTACTTAATATTGGAAGAACAAACACTGTCAATCTATACAGCCTTAACAACATCAACCTAGAGAAGTCGACTTGTGAAAGAGACCTAGGGGTACTTGTAAGCCCGGACCTACGGCCTAGAAAACAGTGCGTTAATGTTCGAAATAAGGCAAACAGAGTATTGGGTTTTATATCTAGAAGTGTAAGTAACAAGAGTGCAGAGGTCTTATTGCAACTATATCTTGCGCTATTCAGGCCGCACCTCGATTATGCGGTTCAGTTCTGGTGCCCCTATTATAGAATGGATATAAATTCACTAGAGTCGGTGCAGCAAAGAATGACAAAAATGATTCCGGGACTTAGAAACCTTCCATATCAGGATAGGTTAAAGAAATTTAACTTGCATTACCTAGAAAGACGAAGAGTGCGGGGAGATATGATAGAAGTATTTAAGTGGGTGAAAGGAATCAATAAAGAGGATATAGATAAAGTTCTTATAATATCCGAGCAGGATAGGACTCGGAGCAACGGATTCAAGTTGGATAATTTTAGGTTTAGGAGGGAGATAGGAAGAAACTGGTTCACAAATAGGGTGGTGGACGAGTGGAACAAGCTTAGCAACTTTGTAGTAAGTGCGGGAACTCTGGAAAGTTTCAAAAGGAGGCTAGAAAGATTCATGGATGATAGAGAGTGGTAGTAACTCTCGACAGGAGCTGCCATGCACAGGCCAACCGGCCTATTGCAGACTCCTTATTTTCTTATGTTCTTATGTGTGTGTGTGTGTGTGTGTTAATGTTCAAGACAATTTCTCAATAATTTTCATATATTCCTAGCATATACATCAGATCGTCTTCAGTGTAAATTTAAAGTCAGTTTCTTTATTCATTCACACTCTCCTATACAACCCTCAGGCAGCTGCTGGTGGCGGTGGTCCCGTCAACTACGACTTCAGCTACGCCGTGCAGGACGACCACACTGGTACTTCCTACGGCCACCAGGAGACCCGCAATGGCTATGACACCAAAGGTTCCTACGTCGTCCCTCTCCCCGACGGCCGCGTCCAGAGGGTCACTTACTACGTCAACGGTGACTCAGGCTTCATGGCTAAGGTGACTTACGAGGGCAAGGCTGTTTACCCTCCACCTTAACCTCACCTTAGACTATTTTCTTTACCTAGCCTGCCGCCAGACTACCAACATGCCGTCAGACTACCAACATGCCGCCAGACTATCAACCTGTCGCAAGATTATCAACCTGCCGCAAGGCTACCAGATATCCCCAGCCTACCAGAATGTCTCATCCTATTTAAAACTACCAACCTAACAGCCTGCTTTAGCTTACCAGCTTATTCCGGCCTGCCAACATACCCTAAACTACCAACCTGTCCCAGCCCACCCTAATCTAATAGTATACCCATGCTCGGAAGACTACCCCTGCCTACAAACGTGCCCTAATTACCAATCTACCCAGGACTACCAGACTACCACATACGAAGACCATCTACCAGATTATGCCAAAATATTATGTATGATTATACCAATTATGTATTATATGTATACAAATTATATAATAATTATTGTGTTGTAACAATATTTATAAATATCTTGTTCCAGTTTTGTAGTATCTTTTAACACACTTTGTGAGTGACGGAGGTGAGAGTGAGTGACGGAGGTGAGAGTGAGTGACGGAGGTTAGATTGAGTGACGAAGGTGAGAGTGAGTGACGGAGGTGAGAGTGAGTGACGGAGGTGAGAGTGAAATAAGTGAAAGGGATGAGATTAAGAGTGATGGGTGTGAAAGTGGTAAGAGTGAGAGTGACAGTAATGAAAATGTTGAGTGAGAGTGATGAAAGAGAGTGATCAGAGTCATAGTGAGGGAAGTGAGAGTGGACAGAATGAGAGCGAGGAAAGTGAGAGTAGACAGTTTTAGAGTGAGGGAAGTGGGAGTAAGAATGATCAGAGCAAGGAAAATACAAGTGAAAGTGATGAAAGAGAAAGTGAACCAAATGAAATTGACGAAAGTAAAATTTATAAGAGGTAGAGATATGAAAGTGAGAATGATCATGTTGAAAACGATCAGAGTCAGTGATCAGAATGAGAAGAGATGACGGGAGATTCAGCGAGATGAAGATGTGATCATTTGTTCCACTGATTACTGTTAAGTCAAGAAAAAGATTTAACCAATTTACCGCAGATTTCACCATTTTGATTGCATCCGTTTGTGTGTGTGTGTGTGTGTGTATGTTTAAGTGTATGTATGTGTGTGTGTATATGTGTGAGCACGTGTATGTGTGTGTGTGTGTGTATTTGTGAGCTCTGTGTGTGTGTGTGTGTGTGTGTGTGTGTGTGTGTGTGTGTTTAAGTGTATGTATGTGTGTGTATTTTTGTGACCTCGTGTGTGTGTGTGTGTGTGTGTGTGTGTGTGTGTGTGTGTGTGTGTGTGTGTGTGTGTGTGTGTGTGTGTGTGTGTGTGTGTGTGTGTGCAAGATGGTCGTTTATGTGCTGAGATCTAGGCAGCAGTGCAATCCAGTCCTGTCTGTGCGACTGAGCAGCTCTTTCGAGGAGCCACTCTGCTCATCCCACATGGAGGGGGCTAGAAATGGTGCCCTAAACTTTGCCTGTCTAAAAACCCAACCTGACTGGGCAACCGCACCCAGTAAGGTCATCCTTTTGCGGTCTGGAATATAATCATAATCACAGATCAAAACAAAAACAAACTCTACAACCTCTTATGGTCGCTGCATGGAAATTCAGGACCCTTCTGGTTACTGGCGCAAATGAGCGTCCTGAAAGAAGAACTGTCCTTGTGGCAAAAGAGCTGTCTAGGTATAGCATGGACACAGCAGTCATTAGTGAGTCCCGGCTCCCAGATGAGGGTCGACTCACACAATGGAGGTCTGGCTATACCTTCGTCTGGAAGGGTGAGCTTGCTGTGGAGAGAAACTGCATTTAGGTAGTTGGCTTTACCATCCACCAATGCATCCTACACAGGCTAACTGAAATGCCTGTTGGGATCAACGAGCGCCTCATGAAGCCCCGAGTCCCACTGAATAACTCACGTCATGCCTTCTTCATCAGTGCATACGCCCCAACACTGGATGCAGAGGATGACATCAAAGAGGCCTTTTACGCCGACCTTGACAGAGTGCTAACCTCTATCCCCAGAGAAGATAAGGTTGTGTTCTAAGGTGACTTCACTGCGAGAGTTGGCAGAGATGCTGACATATGGCAAGGAATCATAGGGAGAAATGGACTAAGCAAGTGTAATCCCAACGGCCTACTCCTCCTCAGAAAGTGAGTTTAAGCAGGCCGATAAGTTCAAGGGTTCGTGGCACCACTCACGATCCAAACACTGGAATCTCATTGACTACATCTTTGTCAGAGAAAAAGATCGCCGAGATGTCATCACCGGATCCAGGCGTGGCTCAGACCACTATGACACCGATCGTCGGCTCATCAGAGCCAAACTCTCACTTCACGTCGCCCAAAAACGGCAAAGGCAACAGGCCTCCAAAGGGAGTTTTAACACTAAGCGTCTGGAGGATCCAGTGGTAGTACATGCTTTCAGAGAGCAGCTCGAACATGGGCTCATAAATAAACCTGACAAAAAACAGCCCAAATCCCATTGCCGAATTGGGTATTCTCGACACTGTCATGACAAAACCCTGCAGAGAGACCCTCGGCCAGATCGAACGAATACGCCACGACTGGTTTGATGAAAATGACCAGGAAATCAATGTACTCGTCGATGATAAACGTGCTGCTTTAACTGACTGGCAGAACAACTCTCAGTCTCAGATCAAAGCTGATACCTTCCGCAAGAAGAAAGCAGCGGCCCAGTGCAAACTTCACAATCTAAAGAACAAATAGTTGAAAAATAAAGCATGTGAAATGCAAAAATTTGCAGTTTAACACAAGATGCGCGAATTTTTCGATTCAAGAAAACATTTTATGGGCCAATTACTCATGGCGCAGCCCCTCCCCCTCCGTTCATCTAATGATAACTCCCTAATTAAAGACAAAGACGGCATCCTTCAATGCTGGAAACCTTTATGTAACTTGACAAAACCTATGACCCTTCAGGCTTTTACGCCCTTAATGTACGAGTCATAAAGGCAAGTATGAACTTTTCATACTTCCCTGTTGGGCGCTGTAAACGCTTCTGCGCTTCACCTTGCACAGGATGTAAGGGGGTGCCCAATAAACTAGCCCCCTCGGGGGCAAATCTGAAATCTGAATCTGAATGCTGGAAAGAGCACTACCATTCGCTGCTCAACCAAAGTACCGATGTGGATATCCTGACTACCCAGCAGGTCCTTCAGCATCCAGAGCTGACCCTCCTCAGCTATCCTCCATCCCTGGATGAGGTATCTACTGCCATCTAACAGATGAAAAATAACAAAACCTCAGGGCCTAATGAAATCTCAGCCAAGGTGTATAAAGCAGGAGGACCTCTCCTTACCAGCCGTCTTCACTATGTCTTGGAATATATATGGGAAAAGGAGGAAATCCCCCAAGCTCGTAAAGACTCCTCTATCGTCAATATTTATAAGAAAAGGGGAGACCGGTCAGACTGTGGCAACTACTGTGGGATCTTGTTGCTGTCAGTTGCTGGCAAGATTATCGCCAGAGTCCTCTTAAACAGACTTCTTCCTGAGGTGGAAACTTCCTCCCAGAATCTCAATATGGCTCTAGGACATCAAGTGGCACCACTGACATGATCTTTGATGCCCGCCAGATACAGGAAAAGTGCAGAGAAGAGAGTCGTCACCTGTACATGGCCTTCATCGACCTTACTAAGGCCTTCGACTCGGTCAACAGGGAAGAAGCCCTCGGGTGGACCCTCAGCCGTTTTGGCTGTCCATCAAAACTCATCACCACTGTGAGGCAGCTCCAAGATGGCATGAACGGCAGTGTCCTGCAAAATGGCACCCAGTCTGAGTTCTTCTCCATCCAAATGGGGTTGTAACAGTGTGTGTACAGTATATGTGTGTGTACCTGTATATGTGTGAGTAAGTGTACGAGTACTGTAAGTGTGCGTGTTTATATGTGACATAAAATTGGAACGGCACAATAATGACAATCAGTCCCATTGACCTGTAAATTACCCAAGAAAACCATGACTTGTGCTCTATATATTGCTTAAAAATGAAAGGTGGCAGCGAGACACTTACGGCGGGTCGAGAAGGTGTTGTACTGTGTTGTTTTGTGTTTTATTATGTTATGTTGTGTTGCCTGGTTCTCCTCCTTCTTGGGTTGTGTTGTGTTGTGTTGTGTTGTGTTGTGTTGTATTGTGGTGTGTTGTGGTGTGTTGTGTTGTGTTGTACTTTGTTGTATTATGTTGTGTTGCGTTGAATTGTGTTGTATTGTGTTGTGTTGTGTTATGTTGTGTTGTGTTGCCTGGTTCTCCTCCTTCTTGTGTTGTGTTGTGTTGTGTTGCCTGGTTCTCCTCCTTCTTGTGTTGTGTTGTGTTGTGTTGTGTTGTCTTGTGTTGTGTTGTGGTGTGTTGTGGTGTGTTGTGTTATGTTGTGTTTTGATTTGTTTTGATTTGCTTTGTTTTGTTGTGCTGTGTTGTCTTGGCTCACTTACTTTTTGTTTTACATATTTTGTTTTAGTAATTCAGAGAGTGAATGCTTATCTGAATGAAAGTAAGAGAGAGAGAGAGAGAGAGAGAGATCTAAGAGGGAGGAGGTCTCATACACACAATCTATCCAGTTAATTGCTCTCTCTCTCTCTCTCCTAATGCCACCACAAGAGACCACGAAGGGGTATTTTCATCCCAGTCACTCATATTACACGTTTACCAAGTGGTTATCTCCCCCTGCAGTCCATAACTCACAGCTGGTAAACAGTTAAAGAGAATTATAATGAAGACGTTTAAAAGTCATTGAGCTTGATATTTGTATTGCATATACGTGTGTGTGTGTGTGTGTGTGTGTATGTGTGTGTGTGTGTGTGTGTGTGTGTGTCCATAAACCACATGTCTCTACATAAATTACTGTGTCGAGTATATACTGTACAAGTGTTTACTCGTCTACATAGCACTTCTAGAACGATTGAACTAACCAGGATTTAACTAGACCGATGGATCAGGCGTCGTCAGCCAGGAATGAGAGGTCAGAGGTGAAGGTCAAGAGTGAAGGTACGATTTAATGATACAGTTACAACATTCAAGTTTGGCAATGATAATAATAACATGTTTAGCAAATTATGGAATAGACAAAGTTACTGAAGTTTTAAGTAGTTGAGAGAGAGAGAGAGAGAGAGAGAGTGAGAGAGAGAGATCCATATCAACATACCAACGTGTGTATATTCGCTTCACATCAACAGTACATGCATAACTGAATAACATTAACCAGTGCAAGGTTATAAAGATATCCTACACGCTTAACTAACCCATTTATATTCTGAATAACCTTTACCACTACATATGCATTTTACACATGAGGTAACCAAGTCAAATCCGAGTAACGTTTGCATCCATATCATAAGATAATATACGATGGACTGGTCAGCTGCGCCACAAACACACTCACTGTACTTGGACTGATGGAATGTGTGTTATTCTATCTCATTATTGTGTC